AGTCCACAAACGTTATTTTATTGTTTAAAATATGTATAATTAAATATTAATTAATAATTACTTAATAGTTATTAGTTATAATTATGTTATAGTGTTTGTCAATTGATTAACTAAAAGAATATTTAAATTTTATAGGAACTAGAAAATTAGAAAATTTATCATAATGAATTAACTACATTTCAAAAAATGCAAGCGCTTTAACATTTCACATGACCTAAATTTGTTTATATGTCAAATATTAACATATAGATCTGATGAAATAAATTATCAAATAAAAAAAAAAAAAAATGTTTTGGATCTGTACTACAATTTTTGTTTAAGATAGTATATTATAATAAACACTTTATAATATTAATTTCAATTAACACAAATAAAAAAAAAAAAGTTTAAAATTAAACCAATTGAATTGACAAATTATACACAACTTAACCCAAGAATAAGTGATCATTTTCAAAGCAAATCTAATTTACAAGCATTAAAATGATTTATCTTAGTATAACCTCAAATGAATTGATCATAATAAGTAATTACTTTAAATAGACATTTTAACAATAATTCTTGCTACACTAGTTAGTAGCATCTATCTGATACAATATCTTTACATGCATAATATTATGCAATTATAAAATAATTATTGATTCAAGATATATTCAAATATAAAAAACACAAAAATTACACATGTAAGGAAAAAATGAATAGGTACAGTAAACAGGTACCTAAACAAATATGTTAAAATATTTTTATTTTTATTTATATACATAAATAATACCTATTGATATAATTAATAAAAATGGTAAAAGCAAAAATATTAATCTTCTAAAAAAATATTTATTTCAAAAATAATTTAAACTATAAAATTAGGGTTAATGCATGATATGTATAATATGGAGGAAATTTTAACAACTTAAAAATACTGTTTATCTTATAAAACATAATTTTGGGATTAAGTTTAAGTTGTAAACACACTCTAAACAATTAATGAGTCCCTTCTCAATCTAACATAATAGTATTGATAATTATATGGTTATTGATATTTCAGTAATAACTATTCAATAAAATAACACAAACCAATGATGAGACAACAGATGGTAAATTTCAATATGGTTTTAATAATTTCATCAAAACAAACTTAGCGGTAAGTACTAGAGCATGTCAAGAAAATAAAAACGAATTATCAAACACAATTACATACCATAGACAATTTAAGTGTGATCTCTAAAACACTCATCACTCGTAAGATTGTGAACGATGAATGTTCTCTCGACATCCCGAGGACGACGATATTAGACAAAACCGAAACTATATGACAAACTACTATGGCAACAAAATACGGATTACCATCGAAACGGAATAAAAAAAACAAACGGAAAACGTATGAAACGGTGTCCGCTTTTAGAAAAATCGGGCGAGATTGCGGGTGAACAATATATGGCACACACCGTCATGGCTGCCGCCTAGACGCTCAGTTTTCGGACGATAACAAAGTCCAACTCTCAAGCCATTAGCGTGTAATCGAATTCTAAATGTTGTAATATAATATATTGTTGAACATACAGAAATATAATAATTATGAATCCACTCACCAAAATGCGATGACACGGCGATCGGGTGATGAGTCGTCGGTCCGTCAAATCCTTGAAGCTCGAACGTATCAGCGCCTCAGCAGTTGTGGCGATCGTCTCTCATAGTTGCACTCTAACACCGTCACACTCTCACATCCAACGCCCGTCGTTCACTGCTTGGGACTTGGGAGGGGAATAAAATATCGATATTTTGAACTAAAATATTCGATGTTTAACATCGATAGTTAGGTTTCGATATTATACATCGATATGAAACCTTTACCGATGTTAACTTACTTATTTTAATTTTTAACATTTTTCAGTTGCTAACATAATAAAATATGGGTATAATTTTAATTTAATATAATTGTGGTTAAAAAGAACAAATCAAGATGTCAAATTATTCTCTGTACCTTGATTATACAGTGTTATTGTCATAACAGAAATATTATAATAGGATTGTATTTTATTAAAATCTACTATAAATATAGAAATTAATTAAAATGATCATGTCCCAATTTCCACTAACTGCTATTGCTATAGGGTTATAAGGGTTTACGACTTTTACGGATGTTATTTAATGTTTATATCTATGATTATAATATATTCAAACATTTCAAACTATTACATTGTATAAAGCTATATACAAATTACAAACTACAAATAATAATTAAATACTGACATTTTCATACACGATAAACGCTTGAACGTAAACACACAGACTAAATTACTATTTACCTTGTGAGAATCTTTAGAGTATTGTAATTAAACATAAAAAACAAATATCTATACAATTAAATAATTAATAAATTGGTTTATTCAGCATTTCAAAACATAATATCTAAACCTAAATCAAAAGTTTGTAAATATTTCTTATTAAATTGGACACTTATAAAAGTAACTACAAATAAACAAAAAATGTATGTACATTTTTAGTATTAATTTTAAAATTAATATTAATCTTTGAAATGTAAAATTCACCTCACCTTCTTATCTTTATTCAATAATATATCAGATGTATCCTAACCCCCTTAAAAATTTAAAATTTAGAAGAAAAAAATTTATTTTCCACTCAATTTAAAAAAACATTTTTGATCTTAGGTACTAAAAATCTGTTAATATATATTAAAAAGTTTTGAAAATGTTTTAATGTGTTAATTATCTAGGCTATAAGTTCACATTATACTCCTAGAATCAAATCTGATACTAAAAACAGAATTGATGATCAAGAGCTACAAATTAAAGAAACTACAAACAATTCTAACATATTGCCCTTTGTTGTATCTTTCACAGCCATCACAGTCTTTAAGTAAAAGTACCTCTAGTATTACTAGAGATTTCATAAAGCTGATTACTTTGGAATGGTCACTTGATTAAGTATCCAATTTTTCAAGTAAGCATTTTTTATAACTGAAAAATTTGTATTTTAAAATTTAAATACATTTAATTGGTATTAGATAGAAACACATTAAAATTATTGAAAGGTTTGTGTATTATTTGTAAAGATAATCATCTATTTTCAGTCATTGAAGACATAGGAATATAAGATTTGTAAACCTTATGAAGGAAGTTTTATCTTTGTAGAAAAAACCTACAGAGCTATATTATTGTATCATCAAACTTAAAATGTTTTTTTTTTTTTTTTAAAGAAGTTGATGACATAGCTACAAATATTGGGTCTAAAAGCTTTCATGAAGTTTTATCCATTCTTCAAAATTATATTCTACTGCGTTAGATATCTTGAATTATCAAAGTCTCTTTCACCTAATTAGTGTTCTCATGAACTATTAAATATATTAAATTTATAAGATACTAAAATTTAAGATTTTGGCTGTAGTGACGGGTAATGCAACAATGATGAAAGCAATTGGAAAACATTTTTCAAAAACAAGCATTTGTGATAGTTTACTCAGCTTATAAAAGGATCTGTAAAAAAAGATGTATGCTTACTTGATTTGATTAATGATTAGTATAGTGAGAAATATTGTGAGATTGATAAAAATCAGTTTGAACACTGTGAATGAGTTAAGGCATTTACAAGAAAAAGATGGGAAATAATTAAAAAAAAATAAATATTTTAGATGTTATTACATCATTTACATGATTGAATTCTGTTTATCATATGTGTTAATGGTTTTTAGAACTAAATAAAGTAGTTACAAATTGTATTAAAACGTTAAAATACTTCTATGTTGAGTGGCCAAGACATTGAAAATATTAAAGAAGTGATAGATGTTTTAGAAATTTCATGACAAAAATGTGCAAAATAAGTTTGGTTATTTCTATTATATATTTAATCAACAGTAATTAAAATATTATTTTATCAACTTATAGAGTTGGAGAAAAATTAAAATGTTCTCCAACTTATAAGATGAATAAGTTATTTGAATTTATTGAAAATAATTATTTATTTTCTGAGTATATTTAATCCAAGATTAAACATTTTAAAGATGCTCCTCTTGCACTATTATTATAACATTAAAAACTTATAAACTGTTTAATCATGAGTATAAAATGTTCAACAGCAGAACAAAATCATTTAACTGATTTTTTTTTTAAATATCGATGTTATTCTAAACACATCGAGTTCTTCACTTAGATTTTTGTTTAATTTACCGACATTGCGCCATCGATATTTTAAAAAAGATAAATCGATACATCGATGTTTAGCAAACAATTGCCATCTTAACGGCCGTTATTCTAAAAAGACAGCGACAAAATAATAATATATAAATTATAAATCTATTCAATGTAACAATCAGTTAATTTTAGTATACTTAATTTTCGGCGAATTGAGTAGTAGAACGCTATGCGCAAATACCTAGGTTGCGAAGTAGAATGTCTTTTTCGTATTTTCGTACGTATTATTGAATAATTTACACAAGATGGCGGACGATCACCCGATGTTTTACGTGCGTGCGCACGCGCACGGTAGCTTACCCCGTTGACGTTCAGTAGGACGTGTATGGTTCGAGGAGTCTAGAGGTGTTACCAACATTCCGGTCACATTCTCTGCGTTCGTAATCAGTAATCGTAAAATACCGAAGTGTGTAAAATACAAAGATCTTTACTACATCATTTACTATAATATGGTCTGTGGTATATCACTACATCATACTCGGTTTCCGATTGGTGGACATTAACAAATCACCTCGGCCATAAGAAAATGTGTTATACGTCGACGCAGTAACTACACCTGTTTTAGTATATAATAATAATAGTAGGTAATAGGTAGTAAATGTGTATGTTGTGTAGTACTTATATATATAATATATTTGTATGGTGGGGACGGTTGAGTGTGCGTGGGAGTTTACAAGCGATAACGCAATGTTATGTTCGCTTTTGCCTTTTTATCAATTTACATGTTCTTATCAACACGTAGTTAATGATGATTATTATTATTATTGTTATAAGATAATATAATATAATATATATATAAAATATTATAAATAGTAAATACCTGTATAGTGTATAAATATTATGTGAATATTAGCACATACACACACGCCCGCACGAACATTTTAAACACACGCATAAATTATACATACATGTAATAATAATAATAATAAAAAAAACCATTTACCTCTTTTAACTACAATTTCTATTGTTTGAACTACGTTCATGACTAATTAGTGATACCGTTAGTCTTATTTCCGTTTTACATAACTTTTAAGTGCACTCGAATACCATATACGATGATCAAATAAAGTTAATAGGTTATTTGTTTTTCAGAAATCCTTTAATATAAATTTCTGATATTTGTTATGTTGAAAACTGACCGAATGTTTAGTGTAAACCGTTGAAAAAATAAACTGCTTTTTATTATTTTTTTATATTTTTATGATTCTTTAGTATTTTGTGCAATGGAAGATTATAAATTTTTATTTAAAGTAGTACTAGTTGGTAATGCAGGTGTCGGCAAAACTTGTTTGGTTCGTCGATTTACACAGGTATGTATGGCTCTGTATTGAAATAATAATGACATTTTGACAATTATATAATTAAATTTCCTCCGTGTTTCAGTTAAATAATTTATATTAGTTTATTAATTTAAAATAAACTTTTTGTAATTCTGATATTGCTTATATTTTAACTATTTTAATTCAAATTGCTATCTAAGTAAAAATAAAGAACTTTGATTTCTAAAGATAGTTAAAATTCAAGTTAAAATCTTAAATATCTCATAATTTAAATTGATTTAAAGTACTACTAATGCAATTACACTGTTTATTAAAATGTATGTAATTACTAATTAGGTACTATTTTTATTTTATTCTCATTAATATTTTGCTAAAACCAAACTAGAAAAATTAAAATGTGTGTTGATATCTGTTTATGTTTAGGGGATGTTTCCTCCAGGTCAAGGTGCAACAATAGGTGTGGATTTTATGATAAAAACAATTGAAATAGACAATGAAAAAGTCAAAGTAATGCACAAAGTTATTTATTTGTATTAATTTAGTATAATTATCACAATTGTATAATATAAAAGCATATCTGTTGTAATTTATGTTTATATTTTGTAATAAGGGATTTTACTTAAAAGAAAAATTATAATTAAAAACATGATGAACTGAAAATAATATTATGATTAAATTCTGCTTGTGTCAACATATCTTTTTTCATTGATTCACTAAACAATAATTAGTTTAAGAACATTATACTATTTGGAAATTTTAAAAAATTGAAGTCATCCCAATAGAGGGTTATTATGATAATTATGTATATATTTTTATCAGACAACAAAATTGTGATTAAAAACAACATATGTTAGGTGTTTTAGAACTTATAAAATTGCCAAATGTCTTAAACCCAGTATATGATTTATCTAAGAAAAGTTCTGACTTTCTGGGACCCAATTTTTTAATTTTTATCTGTTAATTAAATTATTTTGTTAACTTTTCATGTTTAATATACGCCCATGGTTTATTTCTGAATATTTAAGAAAATTAATGAGCTCGTTGACTAAATGTAATTTATTTTCCTAATTGTAACTGTGGAGCACTAAAATTACTTTTATCATTAAGAAATAATCTTTTCTTTAACTAATATGTTACTATTTTTATTTTATTAGCTTCAAATTTGGGATACAGCAGGACAAGAAAGATTCCGTTCTATTACCCAAAGTTATTATCGATCTGCACATGCTTTAATATTAATTTACGATATAACATCTCAGCCAACATTTGATTGCCTTAATGATTGGCTTCGTGAAATCGATGAATATGCAAATAATAGAGTATTAAGAGTTTTAGTTGGTAAATATCACATTTTATAGATTATTTATTAAGTATATATTAAGTCAAGTTTTAAACTTTGATATACTAGGTAACAAAATAGACAAAGAAGACCGTGAAATTCCTTCTCATGTTGGTCAAGATTTTGCTCAAAGGCATGATATGCGCTATTTAGAAACATCAGCAAAACAAGCAGACAACGTAGAAAAATTATTTATTCAAATTGCTTCAGAATTGATGGAGGTAAAAAATATATTCTGTACATTTATTAATTTCATAAATATACTTTTTTAAATTTTAACTGCTAAAAATAACAATGAATATTTGTCTATAATAAACCATTAATTAGTATATCATTATTAATACTTATTTAATAAATTATAATAATTATAAAAATAAGCTGAATAACCTATGTTTCTAAATTTTAAACCCTAATAATATTACATATCATTTTTAAGACTTGATTGACATGATTTTTTTAAATATTTCAGTCTAGGTAGGATTTAATTATAATTGCAATTGTGATGATAATATTACCTACTAAAACTGCATTTGATTGTGTTTCTAATATTTTTTTTTACGTGTAAACTAATAAAAAATCAAAATATGATATATTTTCAATTATTGAAAAGCATTATCATACACAGTCTTTTTAATAACTACTTATGTTCACACAATGCATCATTGTATAACTTATATATTTTAGAGATATCTCAGAATCTATTGTGATATTTAAAATGAAAGAAAGCATGTTAAAGATATTTTTGGTCATATTACTTAATTTTGAATCAATATAATTATCAATATGTTTAGAATCATCTTAATTCCTTAGATATATATAAAATTGATGATAATTTAAAGTATTATAAACGATATAATAACCACAAAAAAGTCAAATTTTTATATTTTATTATTATATCATACTTTATTTGACATTCACTCTAATTAAAAATCCAAATTAATATTCATTGTAATTTTATTTTGAATTGAAGATAATTTTATATCATTTATTGAACTGAAATAATTGCCATTGATAAAATAATGACCTTTTACAATACTTTAATATGGATTTGTTTATATTGGAGGTTTGATGGTAGTTATAATTGAAAAAAATAGAAACTGTTATAATTATTACTATTTTAATTTGAAAATAACATAATATATTTTAAATATTTTAACTTTTGCTATAGCAAGCTAAATCCAAAGGAATATCTTCAGACAGTCCACAGTCTTTACCATTCAACACTAGAACATCTAAATCTATCAATGATTACTGTTGTAATCGTTGAAACCATAATAATCAGTATTTATTATTATTGTCATTGATATTTAACTGAGCTTATCACAGGGTAAATTGTAATCAAACTAATACTTTACCTAAAATCAATCCAATAATAATATTTTCAACAAATAAAAGTTACCTAACAGTAACATGATGAGCAAAAGTAATTAGTATTATAGTTTTAATTTTAACTCCAATTCAAGTTAATATTTTTATGTTTCATGGTTGTATAAAGTATCGTCATACAAATTAAATGTATGTGCATCCAAAAGAAATGTGCTCAAATATAATATGATCATCAAATAATTTATCCTATCAACCCTACTAATCAGTATTTTGATCAAAATTAATTGTGTTTTTTTTTTTTTACAACCTAGTTGTATTTTTCAAGTACCTATTATTATAAAACCATATTTATTAATATTAATTAATATTTATTAAAAATCTTTTAGGACTTTTAATGTTTTATGTAACTCATTGTTTATTTTAGTTTTTAATAATTCATTTAAAATCTGTTTGATTAAAGTGTTAGCTTTAATTATATATTATAATTGTTACTGAATAAACAAATGACCTTATATAATCTATGATTAAAAGCGAAATTAAATTTTTTTACTGACTATTAAAAAGTAAATATAAACTACAATTTTTAGTTTTTTTATATTGTATTTTACCTATAAGGAAGTAACTTATTTTATTGTTACGACCAGGAACAAAAACGTTTTGTTTATTTTATACTTGTTTGTAAAATGTATATATTTATTTTTTTTTACAAAATAATTAGTGCAATACTTTTGATTATACTATTAAGAAATAAGAATTTTATGTAGAAAATTATTAGTATATGTAGCGCAATAAATTTTGTTTATTATATTTGGTTAGGTTAATTTGCTGTTATTATTATTAAATGTTTTATATTAATAACTGTATTTAAGAATAATCTTATTTTATTCTTCTTATTTTTTACACTATTTTAAATGTTATATTATGTAATTTAAATTATTTGTTGTATTATTAAATTTTTACACTTATTCATCATTCTTCTAAAATAAATTGTTAATATAATTACTCAATATTTACTCAAGGATAATAAACAAATATATTAATTTGAAAATGTATTTACAAATTATAATACATTATACACAATTTTAGTAATAAGTACATTCATTAATTGGGTGGTTGTATTTAATGCTAAGCAACTATAAATGTATTTCTTAAAATCTTTAATTAAAAAATTATTTGTTATATATTTTAAATCATGCTTAACAAGTAAAGCACCAATTAAAATATATTTATACATGATCTATGAATAATAAACAATAAAATAACTTGTTTAGTATTTTATATTCCAATAAACATTATAATAAATTATTTCAATTATAATTATTATGAATTGTTTGGCAAATCTTTTTAGTTTTGATATAAATAAGTAATTTATACAAAATTGAATAACTCTTAAATAACAGTTTTAACACATTTTATAAAGATCTATTAAAAATACTGGGTTTTCTCATAAATTTAACTATATCCTATTCATTTTTGTCTGATTAATTATCAATTTTTTATTAGAATATGGTTATTAACAATACTTGATTGTGTAACTTGAAAGTATTATCAATTTAATCAGTATCACTGATTAATTTTAAGTATCAAAATTTAAGATATACGCATATTAAGTAACTATGCCTTAATAAATCTCCCCTGATTATTATGATTCGATTAAAAAAAATGTAACTGATATCTGATATCTAATACTTAAACTAAATATTTTTAAACCCAAAAATATACTAAAGGGTATATTAAAAAGGTATATTAAAGGTTATACCCTTTATATACTATATAAAGGGTTAATAGTTAAAAAAAAATATTTGACATTTTTACCAATTTTATTGTATTAATATTTACTATGAATGATAAATTTGTAAAAAAAATTGCATCATTTTGAGCTAACTAGACAACATTTTAAACTTTTTAAATTTTTAATAAATAATTCAACCTTCTGCATCATTAATATTATTAATAGAAAAATAAATTACTTTAATAACATAGCATTATAAATAATAAATATAAGATAAAATATACTTAATGATATAGACTGTCTTCATTTAGAATTACTTTTCATGTATAATGATTTATGATTAAATTAAAATTTAACAAATACATTACTGTAACTTATTCAATAAAGATGTACATTTGACACTGTAAAGCAAGACAATAATTATCTACTTAACTTTAAAGAATAATATATAATAATAATAAATAGGGAGTTTCAAGAAAATGCAATAGTAAATAAATATCAACTATTTTATCTCAATATTTTTAATTAATAAAAAAAAATAGATATTTTGAATTCTCTAACTATTAGTTTTTAGAATTAAACTAGATAATAATATAATTTTACTAAAATATGTTGTTTTTAATATATTTGTATATATAAATAGAATTATTGAGAATTAAATCAGTCTTTAATGATAATGAAAAACATACATAATTTAAAATATAAAATAAAAATTAATAAAAAGTTATAAAATCAATAATTATTTTTCTACTAAAAAATGTTTTACCATAGATATGGATGTATCATAAAGTTTTTTTTGTGTCTCTTCATCATCAGCATATGATAAATTTTTTGCAATTTGACAATTTGCATAATAACCACCACATCCTTCTAATTCTGGGGAAATGCAAGCATAAACAACACTTCGTGACCCTTCCTCTGGTGTCTATAATTAAAAAGAAGTTATATAATATATACATATATATAAATATTATAGATACACATAAAAAAGAATTAATAATTTACTTTGCAAATGTAACTCAATATCCATGGCATTGTCATTTTCAATAATGTTCCATTAAATAACTCTGTATTTACTATACCAGGATGTACAGCAAAAACTTGAACGTTAGTGTTTGCTAATATTTTATTATAATATTTAGTTGACATTACTTGAGCTAGTTTAGACTTTGCATAAGCTGCATTTGTTATATAACCTTGACTAAAAATGTAAGTAAATATAATAAAATTAGTAAAAAAAAAAAAATTAAATTAAAAATGGAATTAACTGTATTAATATTTTATTAACCTGTTACTTATTGAGCCAAAATTAATTAAAGGAGAAGCTTCATGAGCACAAGAGGATACATTTATTATTCTTGCATGCTCATTTGTCGAACCTGATTTTTTTAGAGCTGGTAATAGTAATTCTGTTAATAAAAAATGACTCAAATAATTGATAGTCCAATGTGCTTCGTAACCATCCTCACATATTTCATACGGTACAAACATAACACCAGCTTTAACATAAACAAAAATAAAACTAAATTAAATTACAAATGTACAATTTTGATTTACATAGAAAAAGAAATTAATATCCATTTTTCTTCAATGATACACCTTTAAAAATCTGTTTTTATGGAATATTTAAGTATATATGTCGCATCCACATAGTGAAATCACTCATTTCATAAAATGGACAATACCTATATTGTGTACCTTGTTTCATTATTATTTTATTATATAATGGTTCATAAACTATCATTATATATTTATATGTATATTATATTTTATTATATAAATAATTATATTTAAAAAAATATATTTTTATTTTATTTTTCACAATTGATTATGACATTGGCTGTTACCTATTTATTATTTCATAATAAATACACGTATAAACTTCAAACACAATAGTAACTGTGTTATACACAAACACTGACTAAATGTTATTTTTTGAACAACTTAGGAGTTACATAGGTATCAGTCAACTGTCATCCAAATATCCGATAAAGAAACATTCATATGATATCGGATTTGGAATTACCGAAATTAAATTTGATATCTCACTAACAGCCTCATATAATATAGATCACGGATAAAGCATTATTATCTTTATTGATATTGAAAAGTATGATTTGTAACAGTCAATTTCATAATCAATCGTGAAAAATAAAATAAAAATATTTTTGTTAAAATATAATTATTTATATAATAAAATTTAATATACATATAAATGTATTATGATAGTTTATGAACCATTATATAATAAAATAATAATGAAACAAGGTACACAATATAGATATTGTTCGTTTCATGAAATGGATGTCAAAGTTTTCATCAAAATTCACGATCTGGATGAATTTCACTATCTGGATATCCAGCTTATGAAATGAGTGGTTTCACTATATGGATGAGACATATATAAAGATTATATTTTCAAATTTTTAAGATTTTTTGACTACTTGAGTGACCTATGGAACATACAGGCTTCTGTTTGATAAATGAAAACCTCACTATTCTTCAATAAATTATTTAGCAGATAATTTTTCTGAAAATATTAAAGTCACCAGAATTTGAACAGGTAGTTTTTGAGTAATTTAAATTTATGTACTAAAGAAAATAGGTCCATGATAATGAGTTTGGAGAATATGAAGACTACAGTGATTTATTAATTTTACTAATTTTACTAATTATTTTATTATTATTATATTTTTTTTTTATTATTATTTTATTTTACTAATTTTTTTTTATACATAATTTATAGTAAAAAGGAGGATTTTCTTGTAAAATAAACATTGTATTGTCGTAAAACACTATATTAGGCATAGAAAAAATATCACAAGAATTTTAAAATATGGTGTTTCAATTTATTTAAAAACTTCAAAAATCAGAAATTGAATAAATTAATTATTAAAGAAAAAATGGAAATAAATATGTTTGGTGAATCAGCCTGAATATAGATTGTATACTTATATTTATTTATTAGAATAACCAATTTATGTTATATCTACTTAATATGGGACAAATCATCTGATTTGCCACTGATAAATATTCATGAGAAAAATTAATGAATTCTCTAATTTCAAATGGACACAAATTAGACTACTAAATCTCATGGCACACTTATTTTTAACTTGTAAAAATATGTATTTAATATTTAAAATGAAGTTACAAGATAAACCTATAAATATATATTTATAAATAAAAAATAGTGAAAATAAAATGATTATTTTATTTTGACATTTTGAGACAAGAATAAGAATGTGACTATACTCTAATTATATTTTTTAAATTAAGTTCTTATCATAAGCTAATACAAAGGTATAGCAACAGCTAGAGGGGTTAATAATACAAGCCTACCAAGTCTTGGCCCAAAATCTGTTAAAATAGATAAGAATAATTAAGCTTAATTTTTAATGGCCAACAAAAATTAACTTGGTAATTCGCTGGTTCTATCTAGACTTGAATTTTAGGAGATATTAGAAAGTTCAATGTTTCAAATGGTTTTTAAGTATTATTATTTTAATTATGGAATATTGTATATCTTATAATATGAATGTTTAATTTTTACTAAAATTATCATTGTTTCTAGCAGTGATCTATAAACTAATATAATTACATTTTAAATTTACCGTTATTTACAAGTATATGAATTTGATCATGATTGTGTAATACTTGTTTTGCAAAATTTTTAACAGAAGTAAATGATTTAAGATCAAGTTCATAAAATTCAATTGATGCATCATACATAATATGCTGTTGGATTATTTTTTGAGCGGCATTTACATGGCGGCATCCTAAAAATGAAACACAATATAAAAATGTATATTATATCAAAACAGAATTATATTTAATTTATTGATTATAGATTAGGAACTAAATTTTTAAACTTAATATGTAATTAACATAGGTGAACATAAAAAAATCAAATTATTTACCAAATACTTTGTGTAGATTAGAATTTTTAAATTCCATGAATGTATTTATTGTTTACATATTATTATAAGTGAATTAAAATTATAAAAATATTTATAAAAACATAATTTAAAAATTATTCCAAATACTAAATTAATTTTTAATAGTAAATTAAGATTACCAATTATAATATGCATCTCACATTGAACTAGTTTCTTAACTACTTCCAAACCAATGCCTCGAGCACCTCCAGTAATAACAGCTACTTTTCCTTGCTTATTGATAATTTCTTACATGAAAAAAAAATATAAGTAAAATATTATTTTAAATAGCTACAAAATATTTTTATGCATAGTAAATGTATTAATTAAAATTTAGTCTTACCCAACTTATTTTTATCACGATTTTTTAAATCATCAAGAACGGCAAATATTCCCAAAAAATAATAACAAATTTGGTATTGTATTATTTTAAAATATGTTGTTAACATTTGAAACATTTTTTTATTTATTGTACTTTTATAGACAATAAAATATGATAAATAACAATCTCTAAGTATAAACTTTTAAAACTTAGAATATACCATGTTATTTTAGTATAATAATAATTTAATTTCTATAATTTATAAGTTTAATCCTTTCAATAACACAAAACTTTCTCTTTTCATCGGTGAAATTTGTTTGAATAAATTAACTATGAAAGCAATATAAGCAATTTGGCTATACAGTGTGAACTGTGTAAACAAATAGAAATTTCTAATCATTTATTTAGGACAAATGACAGTTAGGAGTACAGCACATTCATAAACATAGTTATAATAATAAAGAGCGTGGTAGCAATAATAGTATTTATACAGAGTGATTGGTCGAACAAAAATTTATTCATAAGATGAAGGATAACGATTTTAGTTATTTTGTTATAATTTGAAAATATTAACATAGAATAAATTAAATAATTAAATTTATTCTACGATAATATATTCATAATCTAGCGAAAGCTTGAAACTTTAAATGCATATCAATCTTATACACACAATTATATTTTCAAATAGGTACAGTGTTTTTAGTGTAAATGAATTCACCTACCTAAATATCAGATTACTAATAGAATAAACAAAAATTAAAATAAGTAAATTATTTTTATAGTAGCTATAGTGAAACCTCCTAACCTAACGGACACCTCTAAATAACGAACACTTCCAAATAGCGGACGTCTTTATGGGAACGGGAACATTTTCACCACTTTTATATAGGAAAACCTCTAAATACCGAACACTTTAAATAACGGATACTTTTATGGCAATTTAATTTTTGATTTTGACGATTTTTATTGTAAATGTTGAATAATCGTAGAATGCCTCAAAAAATATCTAACTATCTTATGTAATCTGACTACTATTCAGTATTATACTATGTACAATTATAGTTTATCTAATCCGACCGTTGTTGCGTCGATAAAAACATTTTTCATACGGTTTTTCAACAGTTTATGTTCTTCTATAGATATACTGAACACTTCACTGTTCTCCAACGCAGTCGAATTAGAAAATGCCTTGATACATGAAATGACTATGCATCAAGGTCTTAAATAAGCTAAAGTAACTGATTTTTTCAATAAATGTTAATTTTTGTTTACATTTTCATTAATTTTTACATTGATAATAATATCATAACTTTAAATAATATATAATTTGTATTAAAATAATAAAAATAATATACATACCTATATCATTATTATACATATTGCATATACATATAAATAATGTTGTACATAGTTATTAATTTCTGCAAATTATTTTCCCCCTCTGAATAGCACACACCTCTAAATAACGGACAAAATTAAGGCGACCGAGAGTGTCCGGTATTTAGAGGTTTTACTGTATATAAATTATGAAAAAAAAAATACAATTATTAGTATGTAATATGTTGTCTGACCGTAATCAGACTTTTCAATGACTCAATACTCTTTACACTGACAACTGCATGTCTATACTGACTAAACTCTAAAAATCAGTGCGATTACTTACTTTTCCTCTTTTTAAATTTTTCAACCGCCTATTATTTAATGTATTTATAAAATGAAAAAGTGGTTTTCGTTTGGAAAAAAAAAGTATTTATCGCCACATACTTAATGGCATACGCAATCCGAGCAATTGATAAACATTCAAGTATTTGAAAATTTAGTCTAAAAGTATTCTTTTACTCTATAAAATTTAAAATCAAATAATTATTATTAATTATTTATGGCTTAAACTAATTGAATCATTCTGTATATCAATATTATTCTAATAACATGTAAAATAATATCGTACAGTTGGCTATGCTACAGCCTACAATTATATGATAACATAGTCAACTACTACTACGTTGAACTACACTGTATTTTGCCGCAGAAATATAGATAAGATATAATTTTGCTATTTACTTTTTTAATTTTAGTTTCAGATGAATCAGAATTGAAAAGTTGAGAACCGCTCAACAGCTGTTTGATCATCTGTTCGTACCTTTCTCTCTTTTGTTGTTGTTTCATTTCATTATAACCAAAATTTGATCATCCTTTGTTTGAAAAAATTTATTCTAAATAACGAGACGCCGCTCGTCGTTCTGATGAATAAGTTCCGTTGAAAATTAAAAAGTGTGCAAAATCCTTGTTATCCATTTACCGTACAGTCTTGTTCTCGGCATTGTCCTCAAAAGGAATTCTGGGTGTCGTTGAATCCGGCCGCTTGTTTTCACCGGTACATCTATTTAAGAAAAACGACTTGGTAATAACGAATTTCAGAACTCGTCAAAAATGATCGTGTCGTGCAAATGTCTGAACATCCATATTGAGACCAAAGGCGATCCGATCAAATTTGATAAACGTTTGTTGGGCGGCGGTTTCTTTTCAAAGGTAAAAATCGACTTTTGCCTTTTTGAATTTTGTACACCCATCATAGTTTCAACTTTCGTATTTTTCTTTTAGGAGTTACTATGTTGTGAAGTGATAGCTATTACTAAACATCAAGACTGTTTGATTCTTGAAGAAAGAGCCTTCGGGTGGTCTATATACAAATGTATCAACTGTGATATGCTGTGTTATGCTATATCTTTGGATAAAAACATACAAACAATTTTGATTAGTCCTGATTTATTGGTAAGAATAACAAATAGGTTCAATTAATTTTGGATTACTAGTTAAATTGTCATCATATCTGGAAAATAAAAATTTTTGGTTGAAAACTAATTTAACTAAATGTTGTAGATCTAATTTATGTAAATTAGTATAAAATTATATTATAGTGAAATATATTAGAATATGACACAATTATTATTTATATAAAACATTTATTTTAGAATGATAAATCTATCTCTGTTTAAATACTATGCTTTTGCTTAGGTACTAAAAAAAATTAAGCACAGATTATTGTTTTTATTGAACTATAAAACAATGGAACATAAAATAATTTAAAAAAATATAATGTCTCACTTTTCTAGAGTGAAAATTTTATACTTTTTGTAGTTTAAAAATTTAATTATTCTATAATTTTCAAAAAAATCTTAAACAAAAAGTTAAGAAATTTAAGTACATTATCTAGTTGTTCAAATCTTAAGGTATTTTTTGGCATTGCTTTTGTTTTGTTTATAGCTCAAAGACAATATTTCTCTAATGAGATATTTTGAAAATATTTTCTTATGAAATCCGTCTCTCAATCTTTTAAGAAAAATGTAATTTATACATTTATACTCATTTTTAAATATTTAATTCAAAAATGTATAGTTCTATGTAATAATAAAGTATTTATTATTTAAATTTGATTTTGTCACAACAGCATCCTTTGAGAGGTGGTAATTTGTGCGCCTCATTCTAGTATTAAACTTAACCTTTAGCTAAAACATTATAAATATATTTTTATATTTTATGTATAAAATGCACTATTTTCAGTTAGTTAATAAATAGATCAAATAAAACTTTTGGATCACTATTTTCATTACCCAAAAAGTTTAATAAACATAAAACTAACATTTTAAAATCTAAAACCAAAAAATTTTTCTCATAACAATATCTAATAAAAAAAAAATGAACTTCTATTTACATATAATATTTTTTTCTTCTTATTAATCATATTCATAATTAGTTAAAATTGTTTTCATTATCTTAATTACACTGATTCAATTCTATAAAATTGTATTCATTTTTTTATTATTTATTATTTACAGACTGATCCAAAACAAATACAAGAGTTGAAAAACTCAGAATGCTTTTCACCAATTTATAAAATTGTTATTAATTTGACTGATTCTAATCAACTTTATTCTCCTCGCTTAGTGGGTAAGTATTTATGTTTTTTAATTGTTCTTAGCATAGAAATAAAGATACAATTTTTGATATAACTAATTGTAAAATACGTAACCAAGATTAATAAAGCAATTAGTCATTGTTCTGATATTGTCATCATCTTTTTTTTTTTTTTTTTTTAATTCTTATAACATAATTTATTTTTCACTTGGTTACTTATTTTACATTTTTCTATGTTATGTTATAGTCATAAAAATTATCATCCTCAGAATATAATCTTCGAAACTTAAATTTTCATTAATTTCTAATGTTGTAGTATTGAGTTCTTTAAATAGATTTTAAAAAAGTTTTCCACTTTCTTCAAAATTTCCAAGTATTTTGTGCCTCTCTGTATTTTACTGCGTATAGATTTGTTCTTGCATTCCCCCCTCTTAAACTAATTTTTAATTTGTATTTGGTATTTTTCTTGATTTCTAGAAATCTAATTTAGTATCTTCTATCCTTAAAAGTTCTGATTTTCCAATATAATTAATTACAATCCTGTTTCTATACTTACATTGATTCATAAATTATTTGAAAATATGTTCTCTAAACAACTTATTCCTACTATTAACTCTAAAATTATTAATGATTAACACAGTTATCTATTCTCAAAATCAACTATGTACTAATTTATTAGTTTTCATTCAATTTATAAATGATGCTTTTAAGAATGGACATATAGTCGACGTTGTTTGTTCTGGCTTTTAAAAACTTTGATATTATAAGTCATAATATTTAAAAAATAAAATAAACTTAAATGTTTTGGTATGTATGACTTATAGCTTTCTTAATATTCTTCTAATTGTTCCTAACTTGTAAAATATAAATACTTTTATTCTTATTTGTATTCATTGCAATTAACTGATGTATCCCAAGATTTTCATTTGATGGCTTAATCTTTTATTCATTTACATTAATAATAAATAAAGCTGTTTGTATTGTAAAATCTGCTGAACTGTTTCAATTTGATTTAAATACACTTACTAAATAGTATGAGAGTGTAGCCAAAATAATCTTATCCTAAATGAAAGTAAATATTAACTAATATATTTTTATCATTTCCAATCTTATATACTTTATTTTATACCTATTACAAACAAATAATGAAGCTAATTCTCGTCTTAGAGGACCTTAGTGTTTTCCTTGATAATAAACTGATAGTAAGCATTTAAATTATTTAAAAAAATCTTTAAAACAGCTTGGATTTATCACATTTTTTCATGACAAATTTACTCTAATGCATTGTATTCTTAATTATATTTCTTTCGTATAATCTATTCATTATTGTTACTGATGGTCGCTTTTTGACTTATTTTCTAGTAACAATTGTTATTAAAAGCTGCTGTTCAGAATAAATTTATATTTAATTTTCTTTGATTTCATTGCAAAATACTTATGTTCCCTTTTAAGCTCTATATTTTAGCTTTTCTTGCTCTCGACTTTTGAATTTCTTAGAATAAAACTTTATGTATAAGTTTTTTCAAAATAATATTAATTGTCCTTCATTATTTTGTCATTTATCTATTTTATTCTGCAGCATATCACCAGATCAAACAGTTATATATAAATGTATAATTTCTATTCACCAAACTATTTATATGGTGTAACTACTTGATTTACCACGTTATGTATTTGTCAATTAAATCTTTTCTCTGATCATTGTTATTTTTTTTTAAGCTATTTTTAAATTGATTTTACATACTTACCATTATATATTACCATTTTGTATTTAGCAGAATACTAATTATACTATTAATTATCATTGTTGTAATTTGCTATATTTTTAGTTAGTTGTTAATTTTCTATTTTATTCTATAAACAATTATTAATCAATTACTACTTGAAATGTTATCTATCTATTATACATACAATTGGGTTATTTAGCGCCTGTCTAATACAAATAAATAAATAATGTTCATACCTACTACCATTGATTTTAAAAATATACTTGATAATATTTATTCTAAATTCATTGTTATTACTACATCAAATAGGTATAGTAAAGATAAAAGATAATTTTTCAATTTTAAAATTTATTTATTATTTTCAAATTTATCTTTAAATTTTAATACAATCATTAATTTAAATTATAATTTACTTACATATCTATATTACACTCAGGACAAATTATCATAGATACAAAAGGAATCTTTGATCCGAGGTAGCATTTTTCTTATATTTATACAGAATTATACATTAAATATATGTTATTTTAATAGCTCCTTAGTGATAAGAAATAAAAAATTGCTTCAGGACAGCTCTGATTTTTATTCTGGTTATTACTATTGATTATATATTACCTTAATCTCCGTAATATGTATTATAATCAATGCAATTCATTCAAAATATGATAAATATATTGTATATTACTTTACTCGTCTGATTCTAATTATATTAATTTAATTTAAAATAGGTTTGGTGCCCCCAAAAGTCAAAGCACTGCAAAGACAAATGAGTGAAGTAGTTGAAAAAGAAGCAAAACTTGTTGAAGATAGAATAAGAAAATTCACAGAAAATCAATATTCAGCTTTAGAAGAATTTAGAACTAAAGCTCAAAATGATTATCAGACTCTAGCTAGGTATAATATTTAAAAATTTTATTTTCAAACATTTGTAATTTGTATACAATATTATTGTTTTTAGGATAATATCTGAAAAAGATAAAAAACCTAAATTTGAAAATTTACCTGCTCGAACAAGTACTAACAAAATGTCATCTCCTGTAAAACAGTTACCAAAACCAACAATTACTACGCTCAAAAATAATCCAACAATGAATTTAATGGATTTTACATTTAAACCTTATACCAAGGTAAAATTTATTTTAAATTTTATTTATTTTGTAATACTTGCTAACAATAAGCTTATTTAGGATAATGAAGATAGTATTTCATCAAAACCAATTCTAATCAAAAAACCTACAGTTGGAGGAAGTAATGATAGCGGTTTACCTCCAGCATCTTTTGATGCAGAAGGATTATTTCCCCTTGAAGACATGGAAGACTTACAAAAAGATTGTGCTTCTGATGATGATCTTCTTTCTGAATCTGAAGGTAATTTAAAAATTTTAATTTATGTTTTTGATTTGTTAATAAAAGATAAATGCTTATACAGGAGAATCTGGAAGCCATGATGAAGGTATTTACATTCCGCATCACAAAAAATTAGATATGGCTGTATCTTTACCAGTAGATGTACCCAGATTTATGGTTCATAGTGGCAGTGTTCCAAGTGATGTTAATCCTCGTATTCCAGTAATATATTATAATTTAATTACTAAAAAAAAAAAAAAAAAACAATGAAATTACTTATTTATGATACAATTTTGTATTTAATTAGGTTGGACGAGATGCTGAACATAAAATGGATATTGCTGCTAGTATAAAAGCATTAGCAAAAAGTGTTCATGGTGATAGAATTTTTGGAGAATTACCTAGACCACGTCTGGGATCTCAAATTTGAAAATAAGGTTCATTATTTTTTTCTGTTAAATTATGTTAACTTATAATATAAAATTTAGAATCTGTGAAACATATTTTCCAAAAGTTGATTTTGTTTATTATGGATCCTATTTAAACAGGTGATGAAGCGTTGATTTTCAAGAGTATAATTGATAATTTTTAATTTGCTTACAACTTTTTGGAAATATATTTAATTTTTAAGTGTGATAAATCTAAAAGTACAAGATTTTTAAGAGTATAGATTATATAATGAATATATATATATATATATTATATATGTTTAATGCATATATTTTAATAATTGCTTTGATTTTGTATTACGCTTATATTGTTGTTTTAAGTTCGTACATTTAAAATATTTTCTATATATATTTTTTAAATGAAAGATTTAACCAATTTTTACATTAAATCTACTTTTATTATCATTTAAATACTGTTTTATTATTTTAATTTTAACTATAATAACCTTATGTACATTGACTTATAAGTATAATTTATACATTTTACATCATGATAGATTCATGCTTATGATGATTTAACATATATATAGTTTTTAAGTATCCCTTATATTTTTAAATACACTGTGATCTGCTATACATCCATTAATTAGTATGACTAAATACATTTATTCAATTATCAATAACATATAGGAAATTGGTGCATTTAGTTGTAGTACGGAAAGGATGTTAAAATAAAGCTATAAAATATTAATAAGAAAAAGCGCTATCCTGATGACCAGTATAATTTTTAACCTTTTGTTGGGAATATGAACAAATATCTAGCTAAATATTGCTAATAAGCACTGCAATTTACATATGTATTGGTATTAAAATTTCTAAACAAATAATATGATGTTGCTGAATTCAATGTAACAACAGCAGCTTACCAGAAAAATCCTAATATCCCTTATGGCCAATCTGCTATTGTTGGTAGCAGATTAAATAATAAATTACTGTAGGAACGTCTTGCACCATTTAATGAATATTTTTTAAAAACCAATTTCTTTTTTCCAATAGACTCAACAAAAAATTATAATTTTTAATAATAAATAGTCTATGATCATAAAATATCAAATTTAAGTTTATTTATTAAATTAATGATTTGTTGAATATAAATAAAATTACCTATTTTACAAATTACAATTATCGAAAATAAAACATAATTCTTAAATGTATTATAATGAACAGTTTCATGTAATATTTTTGTTACACATTCTTAATACATAAACCATACTTAAATAAAGTTAAACTTCAAATTTTAATTATAATAAGAAGTAAAAACTAAAAATAACTAATTAACAAATACATGCCAATTATTGCTTTAAACTTAGTAATAATTGATTGATGTGATTAACAATAATAGATGTGTTAAAATCAATACTATCAGTCCCATTTAAAAATATAACATTACTTTTTTTTTTTATCTTTTCAAAATGTTTCTCATACTCAGGCCATGCATATTTGTCAAAGTACCCAGGTGGTTCAGGAGGTAAATATGTTCTAGTTACACGTCTATCCCAACAATTTTTTTTATCCAAAACAGTAAAAAATATTAAATCAGCTAAATTTAAAATTCTAATATCATCAAGTAAAAGAATTCCTTCTAGCACTAAGATGTTAGAAGTTTGAGAATCAATTGCAATCATCATTTCATTCATATTGTAGGCACTTATTTTATCCCATGCATGGTAATTAAGTTCTGGAATACTTTCCAAATGGTCTTCATGTTTAGTATAGTAAAAATCATCTTGATGTAATATTGAAATGTTGTTAAATATGTCTACCAGACGATTGGCTATAGTAGTTTTGCCCCCACAGGTGACTCCTGCGATTACAATAACTAATCGTTTAGCCATAATTTAATAATTTATAGCAACACAAGTATAAATTATAAGACTTATTATAAACAATACACCAATTGAGACTGGAATTACCAGAGCATTATAAATAGATGGAAATAATTGATAAATAAATGAATTTGAATCAGCAAATGGTGGTATGAATAGCCAACAAGTAAAATAAGCAAATATAGTTAGCACTATGATTATGATAACTTTTCCTAAGATTAAATCATCCATTAGTTTTGAAAATATTCACGTTCAAATTTTTCAAAATCTTCATCAGTAAATACAGTACTTTCTTCTTTTTTGGAATTTGATATTTCAGATGGCAAATTAACTAGACGCTCCTTGATCTAAAATCCATACAATAAATAAATCATTAAAAAATTAAATAAACATATAATTTGGACAAATTAAAAATATGAATAGGGACAAGGATTTAGTTATTAGGAACAGTCTAATACACAACCTACTAATAAAGTTGAAAAACCTATAAGTTTTCTTTATTAAAGTTATTGTCATTATGGAAATTTTATACTATTTTTGTTCACTAACGGTATAAATTACAATTAATACTTACCTTTACAGACCTCAGTACAGTTTTGGTTTTATTTAAACGCTTGTTAATTTATCTTGTGAGTTATAATATGCATAAGTGAAATATTTTATTTTGTTTTTAAAACGAGAATATGACATCTACTAAAGGTTATTTGTAGTGCCATATTTTTAGAAAAAGTTATATTACATGTATAAAATATTAAAAAGATACAGGTTATTTACTAGTTAATAATCTCACAACTTAAGTAAAAGTTAAAGATGGTTTTTTTTATGTAATAGTCAACTGGTATAATATTTGAGAAATAGTAAAAAAGAAATTTTGATGGTGATTTTAAAAATGTAGAAACATTAGATTATATTAAAATAAGTTGTTAAACATATTATGTTTGCAAGATAATAACATATATACACAAATTTTAACAACCATTATAAGTCATTTTTCACTTTGTGAAATAATAGATTATTTAGCTCTAGTAAATCAAGCTACTTATAGCTTGACTTTCAGCATAAAAAGCACTATAATAGATAATATAATTGTTACAGAGATAAACAAACATATTGTATCTCAAAATAATAAGTAGTCACTGGTCAGTTAGTTATATTGTCCAAATCAATGAATATCTTTTTTTTTAAATAAAAGGAAATAAAACAATGATTGATTACAATGTGATAACTACCATCTATTAAGGGAAATAAATAATTCCAATCACAAAAATGAAACATTACAAACATAACAAAATTACATGAACTAACATTAAAAACACATAGGTAGAATTTAGATCTAGAACATTCATTTTTTTTTTTTTTTTTAAGAATACTAATAAATTCCTGTACTAATTATTAAAATCAAAGTAAAAATTGGATGTATAATTTTATAGCGATTAATGGAAAGTAAACTTAACATTAAATTGTCACGGATATACATTCAATAAACTCAAGGATTGTAGATATAACATTTAAATACAATGTTAAAAAAATAAATGTCTCCTTTATAAAATACAACTCATAAAAATGATTTTTTAGCCAATATGAAAGACATTCCCAGCAAACGACAAAAATAAATATAATTGGCCATTCTAAGTTAAATAAAAAACATTTTTGAATTAATTTAAAGATTTAATTTATAAAAGTTTATAATATAGGCCGCATAATAAGGCGTAGATTAGAATATAAGCTGTGTATTAGACTGTAAATCAATGTGCAGGTGATGTATAGAATAGTTGCCATTTTACTTAAGTAATATAAATATATTTTCAAAAATTTGCAATGCAAATATACGTACCAAGTTAGATGCAATATTATTTACACAACTAGTCTTATCTAATTTATGCAATCTTTCTAAATTTAACTGCACCAAATTCAATTCCTTTTCATTTTTAATTTGTTCTTTTATTTTAAGAACAGATTTTCCAGCATCAGATTTTATAAAATTTGGTACTTTAAATACGCTTTTATTACGTTGTGATTTACTTTTAGATTTATTTAAGCGACTAGAAGATTTTTTGGCTGAAAAAACGTGTATTTTGTTAAATTCTTTTTTAATATAAAATAAAAAAATTTAATAAAAATTACCAGGTCTTTTTTGAGTTGATTTTTGATTTAAAGGCGGTTGTTCCTCAAATAACTGTAAAGCTTTTTTTAAAGTAGAATAAGACATATTCACTGCGTAAGTGTTTCAGTATTCGAACATATCAACAAATTCTAAAACACAAAGATATAATTTTTATTAATTCACGGATAAATTAGTTTAAAAAAATATCAGTTATTTTAAAATATGATAAAATATTATATAATAAATACGTACAAGCACATTATGATTTAAATACAAAAAAATCTGAACTGAATGAGCAATATTAAAACAACTGAGAATTCACAGTCAGATGTTCCCTAATCTTAAGACTGACTTGAGATTAAGGTTAAAATATTAATTCACTGAAGAAATAATAAGTATTAACTACAATAGCATTAACACTATAAACGACATTAGTAAATTACTAATTGTTAACTACTAATTACTATTTACTAATTAGTAATTACTATAGTCGTCAATCGTGGATAATCGCTAAGATGCCTAACCAGTAACCACGTGCAGGTTAAATGAAGAAGTAGACGATTTCTAAAATGTTAGGTTAAGTGATAGTGATATTATGATAATTGATAGTGTATCAAACTAATAAATATTAAATAATAATAATTAATATCCGTTATTCAGTATTCACTATTCTGTATTATACAGTTTAAGCCGTAAGGTTTATGGTTGTATATTATGATTTATGATCTAAAGTGAACGCTATATAGGTAAAATTAAAATTCATTACTATTTATTTTTTTAAACGATTTAGAAGTGTCACCAATGAGTGGCTTCTTCCATCAACCTTTCATGTTATATAATTCACTTATCAAATATTTGTATTATATAATTTTTGTATATAGATATTAGATAGTCAGCGCCGGCAGAAGGTTTTGCAGGGCCTGAGGAGGATTTTTTTTTTTTTGTGGACTTAAGAAATTTTTCTTCGTAAGGCAAAAAAAAAAATTCTTGACAAGTCCTAGTACATACCTATTTACTTGTATGACAATTTTTTGTATTTCCAATTTTTTTTTCTTTGTTTACCTACACAATTAAACAAACGTACCTACACTCTTCAATATATATTTATTTTTTAAAACATTAAACTACAAATATTATTTTGTTCATATACTTTATTACAGCGGTTCTCAAACTTTTTAGTACCGCGACTTAGATTTCCAAGTGTAAATTTTCAAGTGACCCATATGGTTTCACTTTTCAAAAAGTAGTTAAATAAAAAAAAAAATTTAATTAAAATAATATAATAGGTATAATATATTTCAATTTTTTTAACAAAATTTGTTTATTAGGTTTAAATTATTATTTGTATTATTGTATAGGTGTATATTATTTATAATCAATATATTTTTACAAATGTACTTTTATTGATAATAATATATTTAATATTAATTTAACATACATTTCTTAAAATCCGTATAATCTAAAAAATTGTTTGCGATCCACCAAAAATTGACTGATGACCCACAGTTTGAGAAACGCTGCTCTATTAGATATATTTTTATATTCAAATAAAATATGTAAAAATTAAATATTTAGGTAGATTCACTAAATACAAGTTTTAGACAAAAAAGCAAAAGAAAGAATTCAAGATTTAAACACCAAAATTAATTTTTCCTAGCCTTGACTGCAGCAAAAATGTCAATCAGCTCATTAAAATCTAATGAATCAGTAACTTCTTGATTAATCGATACAGTAGTTAAGGTTGTAAGTTAATATTTTGATAAAGTACTCCTTAAGTAATTCTTAATTATTTTCAACTTGAGAAAACTCCTTTCCGCATCTGCACTAGCAGATAATACTGGGAATTGGGATTGAAAGTATTATTTGGAGTACAATCGAAATATTTGGAAAAGAAATACAACATTTCTTTAGTATTGAAAGAGCTTAAAAAGCCATCGTTTTTTTAGAAATTAGAACAAAAAATAAGTAATTCTTCATAGGTTCATAATCATCTATATATTTATAGATATTTTATCTATATCAGTTAAAACGTTTTGTAAATAATGGCAACATTTTCTTAACTCTTCTTTTTCTATGAATTGTATTTTGTTAATCTAATATAAAAATCCAAAATTATTATTAAACGATTCAAGCAGTGAAAATTTCATATTCATGGACACAATAACTTGATGCTTGATCAACAATAGTTAAGAAATAATCCTGATAAAAATAGTTTCTTCATTTTTAGATAGTTCGTCTTGAGTTTCATATGAAAATAATAATTTTTTTCGATTCGTATAGGGCTTTTTTTTTTAATTAGTAGAAATACCTATAGCCTCTGCTAAATCTTTAGCAGTTGTTTTTACAGATTTAAAACTATTTTTACTTCTCACTCGTTTATTTTATTCCTATTATTGGCTTATAATGTTCGTCGATAATTATCATAAATTCAAAACAACAATCGTGTTTTTGTTTTCTATCGACATCGTAATAAAAGTATTCATCAAATTATTCCTAATATACCTATTACCTATATAGTTTATTGGTTAAACTTTTTTAGATATGCACTTTATTAAAAACTCACAAGAAATAAAGGTGGGACTTGTATTTTTAATTAAAAAAAAAATATATGCTTACAAAACATTAAATGCCATAAAAGGTGAGAGGCCGTAAAATAGCAAGGCCCTGGGCAGCCGCCCCTTCTGCCCCGCCGGCGCTGTGGATAGTTTATGGCAATGTAAAAATTACTAGACAACAAGGTAAAATACGTCAAATTTATTTTTACATATATCATTTTTAAGTCTGTTAAAATTAAAATAGACATGAAAATATTAATAGGTAAATCTTGAATATTGAATAGTAATAATGGAGCAATGTTAGCTGTTAATTTAATTTGATTTAGTTTGTACTTCAAAAATTCACACTAAAAATGTTTAGTATTTTTCAGAATAATTGAAAAAAATAAACAAAATCCTTAAAAATGGGAATTTTAAGACTAAACCAGTTTTTAACTAAATTTATTCCTCTATTTTATTATAATTCCAAAATAAATTATTGTAGCAACTTGAAATTGTCCAATTTTTCTTGTTTTTTTTCTTCTAAAAATGTCATTAAAAAAAAATTATTAACAAGGCAGAATTCTTGAAAATTTAACTTACCTGTTTACAAATAATAATTTAATAATATCGTACGTAATGTACTCATATATATATTCATATAGTGTATACTGTATAATAATCATAATCTACCTTAAATTTGTTGAGTTGAACTCAATTTTTAGATACGACAGATGAAATAACTGTGAATTTGAATTTAGAATACAGTCAAAAGATGTTTTTACACGGCTTATACAGGCACACAGCAATAGATACCGAAAAATTATTGATAACAATAAAATAACATGGAAATTAATAACAGTTTTTAATTCTGTTAATTCAATTTGGAATTTTTTTATAATACGAAATAATAATAAAAGTATGAATAACTGAGAATCAAGAAATAAATTGTGCATTGGCACAACTAAGAGTCTAAAGCTACTTAAGTAGTAAAGTACCCTCTAAATTAATTTAAATTACCTCCCCCTAAATGTGTATAATTTATATTTTGTTCACTGTAATTAGTAGTTTTAATTAATAACTACAAATTACAGTTATTCGCTGTATTTTGTAAATTTTAATAAAGTAATAAAATCATAATAATATATTGAATACATCACTACACGCCACACGGGCACATGGCACGCACATTTACATGGACACATCACACATATAGACATATAGTAGGTAGTTGATTATTACTTAGGTATTTATTACTATTTTCATAGTAGCCAGTATAGGCTTATTCAATATTATATGTATTATAATATTATATTTACGTAGTATATTATGAGTTATGACCTATCGTGTAATTTTTGAGATAAATATTATTTAATCTTTTATGATTAATAATTCAATTGTAACTTCGATATTGCATCAATATTAAAAGAGCAAATAAATTATATTCCTATATTAAACGGTCAATAGTATAAAATATGTATTTATTTTTATTCTATAGTTTTTTTCGATTATTTTGACAGTGAATTATAATGTTATTCTATAAACTGTATGTTGATTCTTAAATGATTGATCATTTGATGTAGGTACTTATCTACATAGTAACATTGATTATAAATATTATTTAATAAATGTTATTATGCATATATTATACAGAGCGTTCCACTAAGTATGCTCACCCCACACTCCACAGTTTATCATTATGAATAATAAATTTATTCAAATTCTGATTTTTAAAAATTTTAAATATTTACTTAAAGATCATGGATTTTAGTTCTTGAATTTTTGTACTATCTAAGGTGTGTCTTATGTGTGTTGATATAAACTTCTATTTTTAAAATAAGAACCCCTTTTTCTATTATAAATTATCAAACAAACAATATTTTTGAAAATGTTTATGTTCTTAATTCAAAATTCAAACTAGTAGTTTCTCAATCATTAAAATGTTTATGCTATAAAAATGAATATAATAGTTCTTAAAAATGATTGTACAAAATAAAATAAAGTAGATGTAATATTAAATCCACTATTTATAATACTTGGACAATATAGATTCTGCACCCCACATCGGCCACATCCATATATATACATTAAAAACGTTCTACAATTATTATTAATGTATACAGAATACAAATAAAGCTACCGCAAGATGTGTTTAATATTATATATTAACTTATACCTGTAGCTGTATATTGCCCGGCGTTACTTTGCTTAGATTGTTCTGTATTAAATATGTTTTGTTAATCTTTAAAAATTTTTTTTGTGAACAACTTAGCAATCCCATACAGGTTTATTTGCCTCAGTGTGTAGTATTTTACATATTCCATTTTAATAAAATTAATTAAAGATTATTTAAAAACTATAATATGTAGTAATGTATAGGTAGTATAATATTAATTACTTACACAATTAATTATTGCTTATTATATTAACAATAACTTTTTCTCGAAGCTTTAGTTGGTCTAAATTTTTGCTTCAAGGGTTTAAAAAATTTCTAATACTAATGATTATGTAATAAAAATATTACCTACAAAACTTCTTTGTAGACAATATTCTTCATTTATCTATTAGTAGGAACGAAAACCTTTTAACCACCAACCTACTAAACGAGCTTAGACGTGATTAAGCTGCGTGTATAATTACCCTATATGAACGTGTATGTGTGTGTGAAAGAAAAGGAACATTACAGTGAATATAATATATATTTTCAAAAATAAAAAAAAAATGTCCACTTTAACTTAAAAATATTTTAAATATTTTTTATACTTTAAGCTATAAGTGAATATATATTTGATTTCTCTTTTAATTACTGATTTTTAATTCAAATAAAATATAAAATATTTACTACTAATTAATTAAAAAGAATTCGTTTTAAAAATTAGAGATAAAAATATGGAGATTAGAAGAGACATTTTATAAAAATATTGAAAGAAACGTACTTGCAAGTGTAGCTTTTTTAAGTTAACCTATTTGGGTTAGTCAAAACATTTTTCCTCTCTAT